ACCATAAATTATAAGCATATCATAATACTCAACAGGAGTATAATCCATTAAACTTTTAGAAAAATATTATAATTTATTGGTTAAAGAGGAGAATATCAATTATTTATTGTTAACAAGAGAAAGCAAGGAAAAACAGATGAAATAAATGAACGAGAGGTATCGTATAAATCGCTCATATGTATAATTATATAAATATTTTTCATTTTTTAAATTTTTAATTTCAGTTAAGAGAATCCTATATTTCTTTCTTATTAATTAATTATTTTAATAAAAAAATAATATTTCTTGTTAATTTAGGAATTAATATTCCTGCAAAAGATTAAAATGGATTATACTCCTGTAGAGTATTGTAATATGCTTATTATTAGTGCCGGATGTGCACGGTACGCTCGTATAAATGAAAATGAAGAAGTAGTTTTAGAAATGTGTGAAGAAGATACATCTACTAATATATGTACATAAAATGAGTTAAAAATTAAATATCTCTAAGAACTCAGTACAACTCATTTTAAAATAAAACAGAATGTATACATATTTATCACTTCACTAAAGTTCTAAATTTATTATCGTAAGATTATGCACGCAGAATTCATTTTTTCACATGATTATTGGCACAAGTACCGGGTTTCATTAAAACAATTTTATTTACAAACGAATTTTGCTATACGCAGGAAGGCTATTTTAATACACATAGTTCTCACACTTATAGAAATGAAAATCCACACGAATATCCAAAATTATCAATGTCATTTTAATTTCAATTTGGGGCGGTATACAGAATAATTTAACAGTAAGTTTTCTGTTTATTGCTTGTATTGTAGCTTATGTAAAAAAAATGATATAATATCTTTAACATAATACAGATTGGACTGTTTAAAATGCCTATAAGACTTGATGATACTATTTATAAAAATTTTGTAGATAATAATTTATCAGAACTGTTAAAGAATATTTCATTAAATATTCGACGACGACGCGTTTTCTAATAAAATTCTACTACATAATGCGGGATATGTGCTACACTTTGAATAAAAAATTTTCGAGAAGATAGTCCTATAAGTTGATCAGTCATTCGATATGACACCTTTGGATTACTATTTATGCGATCATACTAAAAAACATGTATACATAAATAGCCAGTTAATAATCATGAGGAATTGTAAGGTAAAATTGTTGAAATAACATCAAACATGATTATAAACGCAACAAGCAGTCTATTGCGACCCGCACAATTATGTATTGAATGCGATGATGGACACTTTGAACATTTATTGTAAAAAAATATTTTAGTTTGTTTTTTAATCTGTTGAACTGTTTTGTTGTTATTAAAATTCGTCAAATATGTTAACAGTGTTAATTTTTTAAAGTGTGTTAAATTAAGGTTTATTAAATACGTTTGAATTATAATTATTGTTTAAATTGATTTTTACTAAAACCATTGCAATTTGTATTTCATTACGAACATTCCAAAATGTTCTAAAATACAAAATAAACAGCTATTAATTCTATTACAATTTATTTGTCTCGCACAGCGTAGCATAGACAACTTCATGGTAATGTTAATCGATGACTTGACAGCTCAAGTTGAAATATGCAAATTTTTACTTGAATTATTTTTTATATGCCTTTAGCTTTTACATCTTTTATTTGTGAAAAAATGTATCAATATGCAATACATAGAGCGAAAACATATTGCAAATTTATATGACAATAATATCATAAAAAGAGCGCCCCATTAATAGGAGCACTTTTTGCATTTGTCATTTTTTCGTACCTGAACGCGCGAAATCTCAGCCCTGCCATTCGTTAAATGTAATCGCTTTCCGTTTAAAAGCTATTATAGCCTCGACATTTTTGTATGAGAATTTTCTTCTTAAAATATTGTAAGGAATCTACCATTAAGAGCAATTCCGGTGGTTTTAAGACACCCTGTATATATATATATATATATATATATATATATATATATATATATA